TATATATATATATATATATATATATATATATATATATATATATATATATATATATATATATATATATATATATATATATATATATATATATATATATATATATATATATATATATATATATATATATAAAGACGTTGCGAGATATTTGACATGTCCAAAACCAGCCTCTACAATAATATAAACAATACATGAATATGTCACTTGATTATTCAAGTGAGGGGAGAACATTGTATGCAACTAAAAACTCCCTCAATCACTTTTTTTTTTAAGACAGAGAGAAATTCCAAGAATCTCCCATCTTGAATCCAAAGGAACATTTGACGGTGTTCAAGTGCATTTTGTATCTTCTAATTGATTTTAGTATATATTTAACAAGACTGGTGTCAATGGTTCTTGGGTCTATAATGGTTTCTTAACAATGTCAATGGTGAAGAAGTAGTGTGATTGATTTTGCACAGAAGCTGTTCGACAAAATGTCCATGTTTCTTTTCTCAACAGGAAGGCTTGAAGAACAATTGTTTTCCCCCATTTTCAAACACAAATCCTCTTCTTAACCCTATCTGTTATCTCTGCAATTCTCCATTATCCTTAGCTTTCCTTCTTTTCTTTCAATCGAGTCTTGCTGCATTCTCGTTTCCTCGAAGATCAGGTGGTTATTTTCGGCTTAAATTCCTAGCTTTCGAGTTTAGGGGCCTTGGTAACCTATCTGGTTTTTTGGATTGTGAGTGTGGTTTTCGATGGCCTGGGAAAGGAAAGGAAGGAACGCTAGTCTTGGAAGGAAGGGAGGATTTTCAATTTGGAAGGAAAATAATGGGAAAGACGCTCTGTTTGGGGAACCGACAATGTCGTTCTTCATTACCGAATTCCCAGATAAGCTGAATGCTAAAGAGTTATTTGAGGTGTTCAAGGTGTATGGAGTCATTTCAGAAGTTTTTATAGCTGGGAGGCGCGACAAGAGGGGAAGAAGATTCGGTTTCGCAAAGTTTAGGAAGGTTCAAGAGCCCAGGATTTTAGCGTGTAACCTCGACAATATCGTTCTAGAAGGTGTCAAAATGCATGCTAACATTCCCAGATTTAGTACGGATCAAAAGCTGAAGAATTCTGCTGGTGTGAAGGAGTGGAAGTTTAGCAATCACAGTAGAACTAGTCACCCTGAGAAATTTGTCACTGCTGCTAGAACTTTTGCTAACGTGGTTAGCGAGAGGGAACCAAAGCATGGTAGCAAGTTTAGGGGAGGAGGCTCTTGTACGTTCCTTGAGGTGGATGAAGAGTGGGAACTAAGACTGAAAAGAATGAAAGTGGGAACGGTCACGGACGGAGGAGATGCTTTCAACATCCAAAGGGTTATTAATGAAGAAGGTTTTTTCAACATAAAAGCCATACCTCTGGGTGCCTCCAAGTGCCTGTTGGAAGATTGCTCAGGTGGTGATATTGAGATTTTCATCAATGAAGCTAGGGATTGGCTGGAGTTATGGTTCAGCGAAATTAGACCTTGGGATTAGAAAGAGATGGACACTGATAGGTTAGTCTGGATAGTATGCAGTGGCATTCCCAGTATCGCTTGGAGTGAAAAAAACTTTCGGTTGTTTACTGCTAGTTTGGGAGACTTTATCAGATGTGATGTCAAGACTGGTAATAGAGAGCGGATGGACGTTGCAAGACTGCTGATTAAGACTAAATTACGACTGATCCATAATAAGATGATTGTTGTTAATGTGCGCGACTTTGTATGCCACATTTATATCAACGAAGAAGTTTCTGGTGGCCATTTTCAGTCGTTGTTTGGAGAAGAAGATGAGCTGATAAACTCAGAAGAGTTTGATTCATCAGGCCCATTAGAATTTGACGGCGACTGGGACGATGTCGACGAGGAAGAGAGGGGGGACTCCAACGTTCTATTTAATGTCCCTAATGAGATTCATCCAGTTGCAGACCCCTTGGGTCCAGATTCCTTCCAGAATGATTCCGATATAGCGTCTGTTGTTGGAAACAGCTTTGTTACGAGTGAAGCAGGTGAAGTTGTTTTAGAGACTATGTTGGGGAACTCTGCAGAAAACTGTGTTTCTGTTGGTCACAAGAATGATCCTGGCCCGACTGAGACTGAGCTTAATCAGGTCCTCACGAAAGTTAATATCAGTAGCGCTCATGGGGATCCTGCTGCGAATTTGAGAATGCCAGCTCCTATTCTTGGTAATCCTGATGGATTCTTCGGGCCTGTTTCTGTTGGAAAATCCAAGAAGAAGAAATTGCTTCATGAGATTTATAAAAGCATCAAGATCCCATATAACCCTTCCTATTACACAAATCTTCTGATCTCGGCATCAAATGGTTTCGCAGCGGTTTCGAGGGAGTTTCCAGACAAAGAGGATAGGAATAAGTCTGTACGGATACTTAATTCCCGTCAATCTAGTTCAGAACCCTTGGGTGGAGAATCAATAACTGATACGGATGTGGATAGAGTTAATTTGCGATGTAAAAGGGCGATTGACGATATTCCAGTGAAATTGAGAAATTACCTGTTGGACCTTGGGATTCATGGCGATGAGGACAACGAGCTGGGTAACACTCTTAGGAAAATGGATAGCGAGGATTGTGCTGCAAGAGTCAGCAAGAAGGTTGTAGCTACTAGTGGATTATGAATATAGTGTCATACAACGTTAGAGGTTGCTGTAGTTCGTTGAAGAGACGGAGAATCTCTCAAACTCTGCAGAGAGGCAATGCTGATATCTGTCTTATTCAGAAATCTAAAGTAACGAATATGGAGAACGGTTTAGCTTGTAGTATTTGGAAGAACTCAGATGTGGAATGGTCAGCCCTTAACTCTAATGGCAGATCTGGAGGAATCATTACTCTGTGGAATAAAACGGAAGTTTCAGCCTTATTTAGCTTCTGCGGTGCCGATTTTTTGGGCATCCAATTCCTGTGGAAGAATCAAAACCTTATTGTGGTTAACGTTTATGCTCCGCGCAGTTCCGTGGACAGAAGGAAGTTATGGAGGGATCTTATTAAAATTAAAAGTAATTTACCAGGAGCTGGTTGGATCGTGGCGGGTGATTTTAACGAGATTATGAATGAGGAGGAAAGAAAAGGTAGTAGCGTTAACAGTTTGAAGGACATGGAGGTTTTTAGAGAGTTTATTGCCGAGATGAATTTAACGGATCTGCCGGCGGTTGGGAATAAGTTTACTTGGTTCAACTCCAGCGGAAACTGCAGAAGTAGTTTGGACAGGTTCTTGGTGGATGATACTGCAATATCAATGCTCTCTCTGTTAAATCAATTGGTGGGAGATAGAGATGTCTCAGACCACAGGCCAGTGTGGTTGAAGTCGAATTTTGTGAACTGGGGGCCAAAACCTTTCAGGTCCTTCAATTGTTGGCTGTCTCATAAGGATTTTATCCCTTTCGTTAAGAAGTCGTGGTGTTCGTACCATGTCTCTGGTTCTCACTGTAACATTCTGATAAAGAAATTCTCAGCCTTAAAAAGCGACATCCGGAACTGGAACCGTAATGTCTTTGGATGGCTGGATTTAAAGATAGAAAAGAATGTTTCTAACCTTAATTCGTTAGAGATGAACATTGACTTGATTTCTTCCTCCAACTTAGCAGAGTTGAACAAGGATAGGCTGAGAGCTCAGGAGGAGATGTGGAAGAACCTCAGAATTAAAGAAAGCATGCTGGCTCAAAAATCCCGTTTAAAGTGGCTGCAAGATGGGGATCATAATTCCAAATTTTTCCATGATTCTTTAAGAGCTAGATATCGGTCAAACTGCATTTCTGCTATTAGAGTAGGAGTAGGTTTAGAGGAAGAACCTGATGCTATTAAAAGTGAAGCAGTAAAGTATTTTAAGGAGATATTCAAGTCTAATTCATCGCCAAAGTTCACATTCGATTTCGATCATATTGTTTGTTTAGCTGAGGAAGACAGGAACTGCCTGGAAGCTGACTTCAGTCCTGCAGAAGTCAGATCTGCTGTTTTCAGTTGTGACGGAAACAAATGCCCGTACCGATGGCTTTAACTTCTCTTTTATTAAATCTTGCTGGGAGATTCTGGGCGAAGATTTCTCGAATTGCATCTTGGAATTCTTCAACACTGGTTACCTTCCGAAATCCTTCGCTTCTTCTTTCATCTCACTTGTTCCGAAAACTAAAAATCCACAACATTTCGAAGATTTTAGACCTATTACTCTTGTTAGTTGTGTGCTGAAGGTTATCTCAAAGATGCTCGCGTCCAGGCTTAGGAAGGTTATTCACAAAATTATTTCTCCTTCTCAAACTGCGTTCATCCCGGAACGACAGATATATGACGGTGTTCTGTTAGCTAACGAGGTGGCTGATTTTGCAAAGAGATCCAAGATGGGTTGTTTTTTCTTCAAAGTAGATTTCGCGAAAGCTTATGACTGTGTGGATTGGTTCTATTTAGATGCTCTTCTTGTTAAGATGGGGTTTGGAACAAAGTGTATGAAATGGATACGTGGCTCTGTTTTCAATAGCTTTGTCTCCATTCTCATCAATGGCAGTCCGTCGAAGGATTTTAGGACTGGCAGGGGTCTGAAGCAGGGCGACCCTCTCGCTCCTTTCCTGTTCGCAATAGTTGCTGAAGGTCTGTCAAGTTTGGTGAAATCAGCGGTTGATAGTAATATGCTATCCCAATTCTTGATTCATGGTCAACCAACGGCGAGTATTCTCCAATTTGCTGATGATACTCTTCTCATTGGAGACGGGTCGGCGGCAAATATTTGGGCCTTCAAAGCTGTTCTTAGGGCTTTCGAGATAATATCTGGCCTCAAAATTAATTATTCCAAAAGTTGTTTGTACGGGATTCATACTGATCCTGAATTATTAGTGGCTGCCGAAGATTTTCTTCATTGTAAATCGGGAAAGTTACCTTTTAGCTTCCTTGGTATCACTGTTGGAGGTAACCATCGTAGATATTCTTTTTGGAAGCCGGTTCTGCTGAATTTGAAGAATAAATTATCCACCTGGAATGGGAGAAACTTATCAATGGGGGGTCGTGTAACCCTCATTAATTCGGTTCTTGCAAATCTGCCTATACACTATCTGGCTTTTTTCAAGGCTCCTATTAAGGTTGTGAAGGATATCATAGCGATCCAACGGCGGTTCTTATGGGCTGGAAACTCGAGCAAATCTTCTATTCCTTGGGTCTCTTGGAATACTGTTTGTAAATCTAAGGAAGATGGCGGTCTGGGTATTAAGCATATGGGTCGGTTCAACTGCGCTTTGTTGGCAAAGTGGCTTTGGAGGTTTCAAACTGGCGACAATGAAATTTGGAGGAACACCCTCACTTTCAGGTACGGTAACCTTAGCATTAAGACGCAAACTTATTCCGTTGTTGTGAGTTCAAAGTCTGATTCGTTGTGGATGAAGGATATTATGAACAATGCGTCTCTAAATCCTAATGCCAATTTCTGCAAGTACACGACATGCTCCGTTGGTGAAGGTTCCGAAGCGGCGTTTTGGCTGTCTGTTTGGATCGGTGAAGTGCCATTACAAGTCAGATTTAATGATTTGTACCAGAGTTGCTCTCTAAAGTTAGGGTCAGTCCGTGATATGGGATACTGGGAGGATGGGCAGTGGAATTGGAATTTGAGAAACTCGTTGTTGGATTCAGATAACCCTCCTGAACCAGATTGGTCTGACTGCTGTAAGTTGCTAGAAAATACCTCAGTTAACCCGGGTACAACCGACAAATGGCGGTGGAGTCTCCATGAATCTCAATCTTTCAAGGTTAGTTCCTTTTATTCTGTCCTATATCCCTCCGTATCTGACCAAGACGTTGGCTCAGATTGTGCTTCCCTTATTGAGTCCATTTGGAAGACGGATATTCCGGCAAAAGTGCAAACGTTCAGCTGGAGGTTGGCGCTTGATAGATTGCCTACAAGATCTAATTTATTGAAGAGAAGAGTGCTTGAATCCGATCAAGATTTGGATTGTGTTTTTTGTTCTAATAGCATAGAGGATGTATCCCATCTTTTCTTCTCTTGTTATAAATCTAATCAGGTTTGGATCAAGATCTGTGAATGGGCGGACATAGATATAATCTCGGAAATTTTCTGTTTTTCTCACGCTAAGGTGTGGAACTCGAGCCTTAGAGGTAGGTGTCAAGTGAATAGAGTTAATTCGCTTTAGTTTATTACTTGCTGGACTATTTAGAGATCTAGAAATAATTGTTTCTTCAATAATGTAGTTACTGAGGTCGACAATATTGTTTTCGACATTAAGCTTAACTCTTGGAAATGGTTGATTCTAAGTAGGAAGGGAAGTAAACCGTGTTGTCTGTACGATTGGTTCAAATTCCCCTTTGACTTTTTGTAATTTGTATCATGATTTGAGATTTCCTTAATCTCCTTTAATTTTATCTGATTATCAAAAAAAACATTTGTATGCAACTCAATAAATACCTCTTCGCTTAAGACAAAGATAATCAATCAAATGATGAAACAATCCAATGTCAAGAGTTATGAAACCAAACCTATTGAAATAAATTGTCAAAATTGATAAGCATATCATCCAAGCATATCCTCCAAGCTGATCCTCTCACTAAAACCGTACCTAAAAACTTGTTTCATTATCTCATAGCCAAGTTAGAATGACTTTGTAATTGTTCAGTGGATTCATTTCTATACACATGATAATACATACCTTCGTATGCAATGGTTTGGTTCTTTATAACTTTATAAAATGTCATAAAGTTTTATTAAACATTCTCATATCACAAACAGTGAAATATAAACACTTGACATATCATATGTGTAAGGCAACATAGCCAAACACTTAATACATTTATTACCTTACCCTCTGAATCCATTAGCTTATATAATATATAAGCATCCTTTATTCACTTAAGAGGACATACAAATAATACAAATAGCTTTTCATGTTCAAGGAAAAGGAGCCCTTTTTTTCATTTCAGTTTCTTCAAAATCAATGACAAAACCTTTGCCATGTTGCTTCCAATAGTCGGCCAATGGATTGATCATCTCTGGCTCTGGAATCTCAACCCTCGACTTTTTTATGCTTTCTGTGGATATATTATACTTGTCATCCCTCTCACGCAGCAACTCTGGCCTCACCAACCCTGGTCTCACTGCCTGCGGTGACATCATCAAGGCTGGTGCACCCAGTGGAAGCCTATCCCCTGCAAAGATTATGCAAACATTCAAAGCTTTTACTCAGAAAATAGAAACAAAAAGTTGCATTAATTCGGTTATACCTCGGTCAACCTGCCATGTACACCAGAATTTCCCATAGGTTTTGGCAAGGTTTTCAAGCTCAGACATCCCAATCATCTCCGGAACTCTAGGATTCACCCACAAAGCTGATTTGATCTGCACCATCCAAAAAGTTACAATTGACATCAGACATATATAACACAGAAACATATCTCTAACTGTGGAGTAAGCATGAAAAAACCTCATAAGCATGAGAATGCCAAAGCTTCTGTTCCTCAGGAGGAAGAGTTTCAAAGATATCATCAGAAATGATATACTCAACACCTATAAGACGACCTTTGTTAGAGTCATCGGAATCATAAACAGCACACTGAAGGAATTGGTTGGTGAGACGAGAACAGTAGTGATGAGTTTCAATCTGGCGAGACATGTCATGGCTGTACATTGCAAAGGTACACACGTGCTGACTCATCTGATTTATGGGTTTGAAACTCTGAACCATCATTGCACTCTTGTCAACCACGTGCTGTCCTATAGTCATTGCCTCCCCTGGAGTTGGATCTGAACCCTTTGCTGGTGTTGGTTCCGGTGACTTATCGGTGGATGCCATTGTTGTTTTCTTTGTGAGTTTGGGTGTGTTTTATTTCTACGAGTGTTGGATTTGTATTATAAGGAGAGGAACGAAACAAGGTGTGTGTGTGTGGAGGAATGGATACGTGAAGTGTTGTTATGGTCCCACGTAGACATGCAGTGTTGCTTAGGTGGCTTTGCTTTGCATGGCTATGTTGCCACATGTTGAAATTATGAGATAGATAGATGAGAGCTTGTTTGTTGGTGTAGTCAATGCTTCTAGCTAAACAAAATACACTACTATAAATTTTAACTGACACATTTTATATGAAATTTTCATTTATTACATATCAGTTTTTCATAAAATTAATATTAAATTAAAAATAATTTTTATTTGACAAAATTAAATTTTAATTGAAATTTTAAAATTTCAAACCCATATTTCGAAAAATCAAATTTTTTTAATACCCTTCATCGTCATCTTCTTCTTCTAATCATCCATCTTCTTTCAATGGTGCAGACAAATTTACAAATTTCTATTTAATTCAATTCATCTTTCAATGTTATCATCTAAATATTATCCATCTTATTCGTCATCTTCTCTCACCCAATTTCGTATTCATTTCCTGTTCAATAGATAACTTTAAGAGGTAACATTCATCTACTTCGTATTGGTTGTGTTGGTCATCCAAGGATATCAAAAAAATTTCATCTTTGTGCTATTCCCTTACCCAGATTCACAATGGAATGTCGTCGTCTTCTTTCAAAGGTAGTTTTCGTATCCATGTCAATTTTTATATTTTTCCAAAGTCTAATTAATTAGAGTTATTATACATAAATTATTGAATTGGGTATTAGTTTTGTATTTTTAGTTGAAGTTGATTTAAATTCTTACTCAAAAATAGTATTTTAAGTTGAAGTTGGTATGTAGTTTGATGATTGGAGTTTGTATTTTAAGTTGAAGTTGATTCAATTCTTAAGCGAAAATTGTGGAATTGGGGATTAGGGTTTATATTTTATGAAATTCAAAAATTTTGAAAATTGCATTTGCATTTGAATTGATAGATAGTGAAATAATCTTAATTCAATTGAATCTTTAGAGTTTCAATTGAATTGTTAGTTTTTCAGTTGCATAAATAGAAATTTATATTATGATATTATTCAAATTTAAGTTGTGTGTTACTGTGAATTATTATGATGATTTATTCTTCAAATATCCAACAGTTAAGTAATGGCTATAAACAGGTTACTTAGAGTGTTTGAACTCAAAAACACACACTGAAGAAGGGCTTGCATGGATAAATAAAACAAAGTTAATTCATGTAGCTTATCCCACTTAATGGAATAAGGTTTGATTGTTGTTGTTATTTTACCTTTTTAGATTAAATATTTTGATAACCAATAGTAGATTGAGATGGAGTACTTGTTTAGTATACTATGTAAGACTTTAACTTTACTGGTGTGCGATTGCTAGACAATGTTTTTCACCCTTTATTTATGAGTGAAATAACATATTAATTTTTTACTGTGTGGATTGGTGCAGTCTTACTATTTTGATTTTGTACAAAACATTTGTTTTTACATACCAAGGAGTTTGTGATATGAGATTTTTTACTTTGTTGAAATCATACAATTTAGTAATAATAATATGTAGTAAAAGTGGTATCATATGGTTGCTTTTAAAACATTTTGGAACAGTCCAATTGGTCATAAAATATCTCACTTTTTGAGACCTGTTGCCAACTGGGGATTCTCCCTAATTGTGAGTTTCATTCGTATGATCATTTGTTGTTGTTGTTAACAAACTTTTTAAGCTAATATGTTAAACTATTTTTTACATGGAAAGGGTTTCGCTGACATCAATAAACCTCCTGAAATGTTGAATTTCTTCTTAGCATATTGGTCTGTGGATTAATTATTTCATAGCCTTTTTTTAATTTTTTCAGCTATGTGCGTTTATTTAGCATTGTTAATGAGGTTTGCATGGATTGTATATTGACACAACTATCTACTTCTTGCATGTCATGCTTCAGATGAGACTGTTCAGCTCTTTCAACAAACCTGATATTCAAAAGAGTTTGAACTCGAAAACACACACTGAAGAAGGGCTTGCAAGGGTAAACAAAACAACGTTACCACATGTTATTAACAAGCATAAGTGTTATGTCTGTGTAGGATGCAAGGAAATAGCATAAGAAACACATACCTGTACATTTGAGATAAGTTTTAGTACATTAAATGTTATAGAATGATTTCGTAGATAATACTCTGTATTTGCGTTAAATAATGTAAAATTTTTAGTCTCAATTGAAGCTTGTTCTTTTTTATCATAATTTATCTAATGTAATAATAAATATGGAAATGTTAGTCATCAAGAAAGTACTAAATTAGTTGCAGTTTTAAGTTTAAATTAAATCAAATAGATTGACACAACTAGAAAATATACCTTCGATGACACAATATCACAACGACCATTTTTCACCGTCGTTTATCACATTTTGTACGAGCATGTTTTTATTTAATTTTATTAAGAAATTTTTTATCACAGTTCCTTTTAAAAATCGTGGTCATAGAGTTTGAATGACAAGCTTCGAGTCCCAGCATAAACATTTTTCTTTTTTTTTTACATAAAAATTAGCGTGTGTCCCTTCTAATTTATTTTTATTTAAAAATTGAAAGTATAACAACCACAGTTGTTTAGTTCAATCGTGGTTATGTGTTCCATATTTCACTACGGTTGAAGCTTGCAAGCGTTGTGAAATGTTTTTCCATAAAATTAAAACATAACAAGTACTTCATTTTGTTCATAATATACAAGGGTGCCCTAGCGAATAAGACGACATTGATAGAGAAACCTTTACCATCTTCATTCATTTCTAGAAAGGAAATGCTCATCCTCTTCAAATTACGGTACATTACCAATCTGTCTCTCTGACGCTTTTGAATGTTTAAGTTCTTAGTAAAAGTTATTTACCATTGTCTCTCGTTGACGCTTTTGAATGTTAATGTTCTTCGCGAGGATGTTGTGTGTATTGACATTGTCATGTGTATTATTCATGTTTCCATGTTCATGTTTTATTCAGATTTTGTGAATATGCTTTAGGTTTTTGTGTTGGATATGTTTATGATTTATTCAGACATTGTAACGCTTCTGAATATGTTTATGTTTTGGTGTTGTCATGTTCATGTTTTATTCGGAAATTGTCATGTGCATATAATCATATTAGGATGTTGTGCGTGCAGCATTAGATTTTCATTCACATTATTCTTTTGATATAAATTTTAGAATTTGTTATGGATCGTAGTTGGATGAAAGTCGATAGATTAGACCCGGTGCATGATAAATGAGCTCTTGAATTCCTTGAGGATGCCGAAAAAAATGTTCCCGACAATAATGGTATATTTTATTGTCCTTGTGTTATTTGCAGAAATATCAGAAAACGGTCAAAAAAAGAAATATTACATCACATATGTTGTGATGGAATATGTCAAAATTATACAACATGGACGTGAAATGGAGAAGTGGATAATAATCAAAATGCAACGTCACAGATGGATGTAGATGATGATGATATAGATGATCGACTAGAAAATATGATTCATGATATTGGAAAATCGTCTTATATGAAAGCACATGCTTATGATACTTTATGTATTAATAAAGACGCGCCTTTATATAAAGGGTGCACTAATTTTACACGATTGTATGTGTTGTTAAAATTGTTTAATCTGAAGGCAAAAGGTGGGTGGTCGGATAAAAGTTTCACAGATTTGCTTGAATTGTTGAAATAAATGCTACCAGAAGATAACAATTTTCCTGATTGATGTTACGAGGCCAAGAAGATGTTGCGTACAATGGGTTTGGAGCATGTCAAAATACATGCATGCCCTAATGATTGCATATTATACAGGAAAGAGTACGAAAATACGGATCAATGTCCAAAATATGGTAAGTCACGCTACAAGTTAAAGAACAACAATGGTGATGGCAATGACAATGTTAGTAAGAAGCTTCCTCATGCAAAAGTGTTATAGTACTTGCCAATGATTTCGAGGTTAAAGAGACTTTTTACTTATGGAATGGCACAAAGAATATTAGATGGTATGCATATGAAGGAAAATATGATGGAAACATTCGACATGTAGTTGTTTCTTTGTAATGTGAGAAAATTTATTCATTATTTCCGAATTTTGGCCTTAAGCCGAGAAACCTTAGTCTTGGGCTTGCCACAGATGGAATGAACCCTTTTGGTAATCTGAGCACTAACCATTCTTTGTGGTATGTTCCTCTCACGATTTACAACCTATCTCCTTGGTTGTGCATGAAGCACAAGTATATGGTGTTAAGTATGATGATTTATGGATCAAGACAACCTGGAAATGACATAGATGTTTATCTAAGTCCATTAATTGAGGATTTAAAACTTTTGTTGGATAAATATGTTGACATTGATGATGCATATTCTGGTGAAAAGTTTAAGATGTGTGCAATGTTATTTTTCACAATCAACGACTTTCATTCATATGGTAATTTGGCTGGAAATAATGTCAAAGGAAATAAAGCGTGCCCTATATGTGAATCTGATACCTGTTTTCACCAGTTTGAGTTTGAAAAAAGACTATTTACCTTGGGCATCGAAAATTTCTAAAACCTAATCATCCTTATCGTAAATTGCAAAAGGCTTTTAATGGAGAGCAGAAGTTTGAAAGCGCTCATAAACCTTTAACTGGAGATGAAGTTTATCAATGACAAGAACACTTTAGTTTTGTATTTGGTAAAAAAAATACGACCCCGTTAAGAGAGATATTGGAAAAATAGATCGGTGTCCTTTGATATTCTATATTAGACTAGACTTGATATAAGACATTGTCTTGATGTGATGCATGTGAAGAAAAATATTTATGATAGTTTGATAGGAACACTTTTAAACATTCCAGGCAAGACTAAATATAATAAGAATTCCCGTTTAGATATGGTGGAGATGAGTATACGATAAAAGTTGGCTTCAGAAGATAGAGGAAAAATATCTTATTTACCTC